TTTGGAAAATTTTAATGGGTGTTATTAATTAACTTTAAGAATTATGAGGGGTCGGATACTTATGACCGCTACTGTAGATGAATTTTTAAGTATGTTAAATGTAAAGAGTTTATTGGTTAATGTATTGGGAAACAAGCTGCTTTTCGATCTGGGCATCTAAAAAAAAACATGAATTAGCATTTATATAAAGTTTATTATTTATATTATGTTATCAAATTTTCGATCAAAAAATTTAATCTAAGCTACTGTAAATGTTAGATACCACATATACTTTTGTTTTACTTGGTTGACTGACCACCCCAGTGAATCATGACAAATTGAAGAACTCGTTTTCTTTATGACCTTGAAAAAATATATGATTACAGTAAAGGATCTAATTATTATAAATGTAAAAATTTCAAAAGCTCTTTAATTATTTAATAAAATTTGTCCCCTGATTTCTATTTGAATTAGAGAAGGTGCATTATTACAAAATTCTTTGAATCAAGCATAAATGCAACGATAATCTTTCTTGACGTAGGACAATCATTTGATCTTCGATCAAGTAATGGTTCAATAAGTACAGTACCTTGTTGTTTATTAAATGCTCCGAGAACTAATTATAATCTGTTCGCCTTTTGATTTGAATAACATCATGCGTCATTGTATCTAGATCTTTAGTAAAAGAAAATTTTATTCATTTTCATGACTTCAATAAATTTTAAATTTTCGTGTATAGAAATAACGGTGTTTACAGATTTACTGAAAATTGCACAATTACATCTTTGTAAAAAGACAAGGTGAAGGTGAAGGTGATTCTCTATTTTCATTTACGTTGCACATAAAAAGATTTATATACACGTCGATTCGTCATTTTCTATAAAAAGGGCCCCTTCCTTTAAAATAAGTATCTTTTATTTAATATCAAAAAAATGTATAATAATATGAGATAAATATGACGTCTAGGTTCAATATAACAATTCATAGGAGGTGAAAGTCATGATGGAGGATGTAATCCTTTAATATGGAAGAAATCTGATCATTTGGGACCTTTGCAATAGAAAGGGGGAAACAGCCGAAAACATCAATTTTACTTTTATATGCTAAATATTTTTTAGGTCAAAATATGTTTATATTTAACATTCACTCATTTTTTATTTTTTCCAGCCGTTTCCCCCTTTTATATTTCAAATGTCAAGTTTTGTTGAAGAAAATGATCAAATTAAAGATATTTTCATATTTCTTTTAAGAATTCAATTTTAAGCCATAACTATTAATATCCAATACAATTTTTCTATGAATATTTCTTTCAAAATAGGGATTATTTTCAGGAGAAGGTGCGTTTGGTAACATTAATATTTCATTAAGAACCCCTTTTGGAGAAATTGTGGAGTTTAGCGTCATAATACTTGTAAGTTTAATATAAAAAAAAAAAAAAATTGAGAGAATCGGAAGAATATTCTTTTATAGAAGATTATGAACTATTACAAATATTGAAAAATAAGAGTTGTTATTACATTTTCCGAATAAAATTCAAAATTTTCAAATTAAATCAATTTTTAATTATCTTATTGGTCACAATTAAAATAATATTTTATTAAACTTTGTATTTTCTTAAAAGAGCAACAATAAAAGGTATTGTACGAACTTCCAGATGGATACTTTGAATTCAATAATTATGGTGTGTAGTTTTCACAAAATCATCTATTTTATCTTCTGTTTCTAGATTTTTATCATTTGAACTAGAGTTCATAGATGAACTATGTGCCCTCGATGCAAATAAATTTCTATGGCATCCACGCCATGTATCTGGCACACAAAAAAAGGATGCGACCGACTGTTTGTCAGACAAAGATCACATAAAATGTTCTATTGTTACTTTTAGTCTAAACTCGTTTCTAACATATTTTTTTTTTAAAAAATATTGTATAAAAAATTGAAGAGATATCAGAACCATAAGCGTTAAGCTAACTCCCTCTAGTAGGGGACGAATAAGACGACCAGATTTCCTATCTATATTTTATTTAACGAGACGAGACTTAATTTATTTCCGAACGATAATTTTTTTTATTTTCGTAATTTAATAATGACTACAAATGAGATGAAGGTAAATAAGATCTTAAATCCTCAGCAAAATTTATTCAACTTTTAACCTACCTGCCATTCGACTTCTAGTCCTTATTTCATACTTTAAGAAACAGGAAAAACGATCGTATTGTGGTTTCTTAGAGCGCCACCACGATGTTTTCTTTCATCTTCATTTTCGAATGACTGAAGGTATTTAACAATAATTGGATCAAGCATTTTTTAAGGGGGCAAAAGGGCAGTTGACGTAAAATCTTTAAAAGACAAGGTGTGTTTCTTTTTTTTTTAGGAGCAGTACTGGGTATCTGCTTAGTATCCATTCCAAGTTAAGGTGCCGTTCGTTGATATTTGTTGGGGAATCAATATCACTAATTAAAAGCTTGATGCACTGCTAACAATAATCTTTCTAATAATAGGTGAAAAGCGAGTGTTCAGGAAAATGGGTAGAACCGTATTGGAAGGGTTTGATCGAGAAAGAGAATTTACCTGTTTCACCTAGTAGGTCTTACTTGTTAATATATGTCACAAGCAAACATTCCTACTTATTAATCGCTAACATTATTATTAGGATTTAAGAGGAAAAGACTTGGATCCAAGACTGAAGTTGAAGTCTTAACATCAATCCCTCCACCCATATATTATTCTAACCTTGAGAAGAGTTGGAACACTACAAATTCAAGTAAGCATGTACTCCATTTCCAGTCAAATTAGACATCGTTTATTGAAGATTAATCTCATCAACTTGATGAAACGTGCTATCAATATAAGGAACCAATTTTTCACCAATATGAATACATGGATGATATATCTAATGAAGAACATGTGAGGCAGGCTTTATCTGTAAATCTGTTTGAAAATCTTAATTCAATTACGGCTTTACGAGAACCAAGAGAAAAGTTTAAACGGATTTCAAAGGAGGATCAAATCAAGGGGGAGCCGGACTTCATCTACAAACAATCAGAAAAATAATTTTTAGTAGTAGAAGTGAAAACCGCATGGGTCTTGAGGTTGGATGTTGAAAATTATGAAGATGATATCGAGAGGAAATGTAGCAAAACCCATACCCCGAGAAACTTTCTGTTGTGGATATTTTACGCCAGAGATTTGGGTATTTGGTTGACAATCATTCACAGTATGGGATACTCTCAACGTACAACCAAAACTGGTTCATTAAGAGACCCAATGATGAACCTCGTACTCTGGAAATTTCCCCAACGATAGATATACAATCGGAGAATCCTTCAATTCTTAAATGTTATGCCTACATACAACATCTGTCGAAAACAGATACTGGATGCGCTAGTCCTGGTCTAACACCACTATCTTCACCATCATACGGTCATAGTTCAAATGATAGTTCGGATAATATATCCTTAGGGTCTACTACAAGAGACTTTAAAAGTCTCAAAACAAAACACAATGAAAAGAAAAATTACAGTTTTATTTTTATTTTTTATTCACAATTGTATTGATTGTCATAATAAATAAATGATTACCTTCCTTTCATACTAAAAATTCATAGACATTGGCGTCTGAAAGTATTCATTGTATTCATTGATAGAGATGCACTCCAAATTTTTAAAGAGTTTACAGTTACGCAAACCTATTAGTTAATACAACTGAAAAGAATAGCACCGTTTCTCAAAAGTTCTTTAATTTATTATTTGGAAGTAAGTTATTGAAATCACGTTACAGATCATATAAAGTATAAGTTTATAAAAAAAAAATCAAGTGTCTTTTTTCGGACCAACGACTGAAAAAAATATTAGAGGGAGAGGATAAATAAAAGTTTTGATTAAAGTGTATTTTTTTCTTTTTTAATAAAAATGTCTTATTTTTTATTTTTACGCTTGCATATATATGTTTGGTTGAAGATATTTAAGAAAAGAAGAAATAATCTTTTATGAAAGAAAAATTAGAGAGTGTGACAATATAAATATTCTGTGAATTTTTATTTATGAGTGAATTTATTTATGAAAAAAAAAGTGTATAAAATTAACTGTCGGAATACTTACAAGAATAGTTAATGTAAGGTAATAAATTCTATACCGATGAAATTAATTATAATTTTTTTTTTTTGTATTTCCACTAAGTGAAAAAGAAACTTTATTTTATAGGGTCTCGATTAATGTTATGAATTGTCACTTTCGCGTCAAAAAAACTATCTTAATAACGTGACCATTTGCACCGCCATCACTATATAGAAAGATTTAGAAACAGCTTGTAAAACTAATACTCAAACAATTTCTTTTGGGATTTTATCCGTGAATGAATACATTTTGTCAGTATAAAAGGGTGGTTGCTTGTTTGAATCGTAAATTTATGCACAGTATTAATATAGCGTACCAAAAGTTTATAAAATAAATGTTGCGATAAACTTCATTTTTTTTTTTGTTAATTCTCCAAATAGTTTGTAATGATACCATTGTGTAGAAATAAGCAACATTAAATGCAATGGAGTTAAAGCGACAATGTCTAAAGCATAAGAAATGTTCCTATCATGGAATTTGACATATGTATAATATGGATTTACTACGTCCCTCCAATATAAGCGAAAGGACGAATTCATAGATACTCAAAACAAGAAAGATACCATCCATAGAAAGTCAACTCAGAATAGATAGAATTTTTTTTTATTTTTTACAAATCGGAAGAAACTTTTCAAAGGGATTCATTCATTTACCTTTTATTTCATTAATTCTAGCATAATAATTACTATACTCATGAGAGTTGATCTTATGGAATCATTATACATTTGCTATTGCACTGGAATTTATCCTATATATTTGTTTGAAATTTACCTCTTGAATAATTTGGAGGAATACAATTGCGAAATAATAAAATAACTCTAGACTATTTATATTAGTCACACTAATCCGAATTCATCAGTAGAAGTTCTATGAACAGAACGTTTGAAACAGCTCAAACTTTGTGTCACCTCAAAGTTCAACTGAATCGTAAGCGAATTTGCACCTTTTCACATATTTTTTATTTAATTATCTTGCTCAGGAAATTTTTATGATCTTAAAACGTCCAATTGTAACAACTTCACTAAAAAATAATATGCTATCAATTTATAATTCGCAATTTCACAGTCGGTCCAGTGATGCTCAAAGTCAAGATCAAAGAAAAAAAAAAAAAAAAAACGAAAAATAATTTTCATAAAAAAAGTAAACCGAACACCTAAATTATCATTTATCTTCGTAATTAATTAAGTTTAGGGACATTACATTCCAAATTTATATCAAATAGCTCATTGAAAATTATTTTGAAGATACTGTACGTTTTTCGAGAGTTAAAGAAAAGTTTTAATTGAAACATTTTTCGTTTAATTTTACAAGATTTTTATTTAAAAGTATTTACAAATATTAGAACTTTAAGAATGTAAATGCTTGCGCTTAGCCGGATATAGTTCAAACTAGAACCGTTTCTCCTGAACACCACGTAGAGGTGGCAAG